TGTTTCTGTCAATCACCGTACGTTTATTCTGTCATTCATATTTAACCAGAAGGCTTATTTTATTTGGAATTATTTAAAATATTTGAGGGCGGTTACTTTTTAAAATGTAGACAGAAATGGGCTGCTGTTTATCTAAATTATATGTGAAAGAGTTTCTAATTTAGAATACCATGTTTAATGTAATCGTTAAATTTAGAATGTGAGAAAGACATGTGAATAATCGTTATATAAATGATACTGAAAAATCGGGCGATAAATAGAAATTTCTCTAAATTATAATTAAATACTATATATATTAAATAGATAGTTCTAGGTTAAGTAACTTAGACAAGTGAGTAAGGAGTTACTTTTAGGTATTTGTGTATAGATTGTGTCTGTATGTCTGTACATATAATCTACATATAAATACCTAAAAGTAACTCCTCGTAATTATATTGTTTTATACAAATAAAGGGCACGAATGGGGACTTTATTTCCGAAGAAATCGGCGGAATATATAATAAAATAATGTAAGTAACGGAACTGAAATGATCGCTTCTCTTCATTTACATGCTCATACCGTTTGTCGATTTAAATTTTGCTGAGGCATGTTTTTATCTTTTGGCACGTGAAAAGAAAATTTGATGCTCTGACGTGTATTTGATGGGGGCGTTAATTAACAAAGTTAGAAACATTATTTGGGATCTCTTTGTGTAACTTTAATCCAACCTAAACTTTATTTAAACAAGAAACTTTGTATTAAGGAATTAATAAATGTAGCAATTTATTCACTTAGCTAATATTTGAAAGGCATAATATAATAATGAAATGTCACATGATTTATAATGTTAATACTATTAAAGCATATAGAAATCATTATATATAAGTTGTTAAAATAGTTTAAATAGTTAACGTAATATTAAAATCTTATAATTAAGAATGTATTGTTAGGCCTATTATCATAATGGAGTAGTTGAGTTATTTTAACAATGATTTTACAGATGCTTTTTTAAGTAGTCATCAAGAGAAGAGCTTGATACAAACAAGATACTTGTAAATAATAAGAATCATCTCAGAAACAAAGTACACAAGTTTACTGTAGCAGAGTACAGCTTAGGCCTATACTCCGTTACAGAAAACTCATTTATTTTGTTATCTAAAGTTTCAATAAACAAACTCTGTCAACGTTTCCTTCACCTTCGAAATAATTACCGAATTGTTCGGAACATTGACAGATCTCTGTATAAAAGTGTTTAACCGAGATAGTTTGTGAAAAGAATTATCCCGCGCGTCGGAAGTTCTGCACCAGTTGGATATCTTGTTTCAAGAAATTGTATCACATAGCACCTGATATGCCAAGCGTGTAATGAACGGTTCTAACTTTGGAATGGGTCTAATTTCTCAAATTTTTCCCCTCTTTCTACATTTAAAACAGTTTTAGAAACGATTTTAGATAGAAGATACATTTGAGATCATTGTTTAAAATTAGAATAAAGTTGATTTTTGAATTGAAAATGAAAATTGGGCATAATTTTCTATATATTTTTCCACTATTTGTTTGCATCTATTCAATGAAAGTAGTTAAAATTTAGTTATATTTTTACTTGTGAATCATTTAAATTTCTGCTGCATCATGATTAAACTTAAGTTAAACATAATCAAAACAGAATTTGTTTAAATTCCATTGAAAAACAAATTTACAAATTCTTCTAATGTAGTCTATAAAGTGATTTTAGAGAATAATTTTTCTAGATTCATGTTTTCAAATAAATTTAATTTATATGATTAAGCATTTTTTTGTTTTGTTTATTTTTAATTTTAGCTTCTTCATAGCATACTTATAAATGACATTTATATTTTTATATTTATCAATTCAATTAACAATACACATTTTTTTTGTTTATAATGAATAGTGAAATTATTTTCCAGAAATTGTGTGTATCATGTTTTTACTTTTAACGCATTAACCCATTACTCAGATATAAAAATTTCAAAATTTAGTAAGATATTTTTCAGCTTTAAGTGAAAATTTCATAAATATAAATTTAAAAAACGCAAATTGACATAACTCATTGGTTAATTTTTGATCCTATTTTATAAAAATGACTCCCGTACTCTAGCGTAATATTTTTTCCTTGCCGTATTTTAAAATAATTGATAATGTCATAAATTTTATAGATGATCTGGCATCTTATTCGATGATTGATTTAGATTTTAAAAATAATTTGATAGTTAGCAACCCATACAATGAATATTTAAAGAGCTGGTTTCATGTTTTCCCCCCTAATTTTTTTTAATACTTCCCCTTCTTTTTTTGACTGACAGATCCTTCTTGTAGAACAGAAAGAGTATTTATGATGTAAAATTGAGCACGTCGTCTTTGAATTATTTTCTAAATGAATCAAAAATTACAAAGAAAAATAATCATTTTGAAAATTCATCATGGCCTGAGCCAACATGTTTAGATGCGATCCCTTTTATATCACTCAATTACTAATATAATAGTTTTAAATAGACTTTAGGCTATTGCAAATGTAAGCTATTAATAGCTGGAGATGAGAATTTTATTTAAATTAGATAATAACGTATTAGTAAATGCCACGAACATTATTAAATTTATCTATCTTCGGAAGATCTTTTTAAGGTATTTTTTCCATTGCCAAACGCGATTTAGTGAAAGAACTGGAAAGTTTTATGCTCAATTAACCTCATTTTCCTAGTATATTTAATGGCAGACACGAAGGAACAAACCGTTTGATCAATTTTGCTAAACTTTAGTTAGTTTTTTTCTTCTTCTTGGTTGCTGTCAACGAAAAACTTGTTTCCATTCAAATCGCTTAACAATCGTTTTTGCCCACCTCCCGTGCTCATAAAAAAAAAGGTAAACCGCATAAATATACGATAGTCCATTCTAAGAATTATTTAGCATTTATAATTAACAATTTATAGACGAAATTTTAATATACTATCAATTGTTCTATCGAAGTTTAGATTGTAAAAACAATCTTCGGATAAAAGTGTACAAAGCGATTTACGAATTATACAGTTGCCTGCCCTTTCCTATAGTTATAATAATAGTTGCAACCTTTTCTTTATGCTAGCGTTTATGCATTATTTATCAAGCGGGACAACGACTCGGAATGTCGGCGAGGGGGACGATCAACAGTTTTCTATGCAACACTTTGTCTACTCCACACCACAATAACCTTAATTGGATCTCATTAATAGGATCAACCATTCGAGTTTTGCCACTTTTAAAAGACCTAACTGATGACCAACCGAGATCGATGCTAATGAAATCTTGATGAGAACCTTACCCCGCCCAGGGGCACTAGGTATGGTTTTCTGAGTGAGAGACTCTCTATCTTTACAAGAAACAACTCGAAATCTGTCCCCGTCAGTCCTTTTCACCCTTTGTTCTATCTCGACGTGATACACTATTGGTTTTCTGTAGCTACGCTCGAGAAGAAAAATGGCCTAAAATACCAAACCCTGTGAAAAGAACTTAATTGCATAGTCGGTTGTGGAAATCAATGATAACGGGTGTTGAAAGATGTCCATTATTGACTGTCGGTTTCGAGAGAATATTAGTATCACTCGTTCCTTTTAAGTTTCGGACAATAGTTACGATCTGCTTCTTGTAACTCTCCAGATTAACACGGCGATAACATTGTTGTCACTTTTTTACCACGCTAGATTCGCCATCTTAATAACCAAAAGAAAAAAAAAGTCAAACGAGGGGGGTAGAAATTAATGGCACGCGCACAAAAACCGGACCTCGAAATCAATTTGTTTCGATAGACAAATTTGACTATTTTCCTCGATCAAAAATTAAAATATTCGCATTAGTCCTTGATTTTTTTTCTTCTTCTTTCTGACTTTAATAACATTTACTATTGTAGAATTTAATGATATATATGCGCCTGTTATTTGTATATATCAATTTTATCGCATCGATAACTATTGTCAAAATATCTAATTCAAAGTATAATAAATTTTGAAAAATCTCCGTCCTTGAAGTCGACAATGAGTATTTTTGTTGCGAGTAATATAAAGCTGCAGAATATAACTTAAACACATCGAAGGTTTATTGTTAAATAATAATAAAATATTCTCCCCGTCCTTCGCCGTGTTGATGTCGTGTTATATCTTCTTATAATTCGTACGTATGCCGTACGTAATTAGCATTAACAGGAAATGCACAATTAAAAGAAACAGCTTCGGATGTTTTGCTATTAATTGAAAATTTAATTGTTTTTCTATAAATTGGGTCAAGTATAACAATTCGCGTAACTCGACTTTTCCTTTTCAATTTAGTTCCGAAGAAAGTTTTGTTCGACGTAACCGCTTCGTCACGCTATTAACTCGCTGTCTTCTTTTTTTCTATAGGCGAGGCACACATCAGGAGCACTAGTGTTCCTTTATGTAATTAAAAGCGGATGTACGTGGCATTGTTGTTTAAAAGAATAATATATATATAAGGGATGCGATGTTTACAAATGAAAGACGATTTATTTAAGGGTTTGTATAAATCTAGTTCCACTCCTTGTCATATTGGAGTGGAAAACAAACAAAAAGTCTTTTTCAGATAAAGTTTGTCAATCGCGAAGAGAGGTCGCCGAACCCAAATCGTGTTTGTAATTAAATTTTTCTATTTGCTTTTAAAACTTTCTATAAATAGTATAGTAGCGGGTAATCGCCGGTTTTATTAAGTTTTAAATCCTGCTGCAATGTTAACTGCAAAGAATGCGATAATACTGTACACAACTCTTCTGTCAAGCTAGAAATAAAACTTCTCGGCTCTTTTTTTCTTTCTTCCTTACTCTTCCGCTTTTTTGCTTCTTGTGGCATAGAGCGGTGGTATGTTGGCTTGACAGCTAAGTCGGTAGCTGGTGCAATTATCCTACATATTTATATCACCGATTCGGTAAACTCATTAACGCGCTTTATGTAACTCCATGGCCTTAATGCGGTTATCAATAAATGCGTCTAAATTATTATTTTCTTGTGCTTTTTTTCAGTCTAGTCCAGATGAAGGCCTGATCGAATCGGAGAAGGATTTTGATTCGGAGGAGGAGGCGCAATCCTTGTTAAGGATACACAATTCCGAGTCGCAGATGTTCCTAAGATTACCACCGCAGAAAGATCCCGATGATAAAGAACTTCAAAACGAACTGCAGTTGAGGAACAATCAAATGGAAATCGATCTTCCTCATCCGATTCCTTTGGTTACCTCCTCGTCGTCGTCGTCACCTTCATCCGTCCTCACACAATCACATTATTATTATGGTACGCCCGCACTTCACATAGCCTCACCATATCCCCATTCATCCACATCGACAGCTGTAAATCCACCGGGAGGAGAGAACGTATCTTCTCCTCTATCGGCGCAAAGTGTAGATCAATCTAAGTATACGTTCGAAGATCAATTTAAACAGGTTAGTAGTACGTGCTCAAAGACTTCTAACCTTCGAAAGTTCCGGATGACTTTCGATATTGCTGGAAAGTAGGCCCACTCGTTAAGATCCTGTTACAAATGGGCACAATGCCCCCCAGTTTGGGTTGATTAATCACGCGCTATAATTCACACTATCCCAATATTTATTGTGTAGAAGTGTTCTTTAATTCCAGGGCATCATAACGCCTTAAGACTAATAAATAATCAGTAGGCAGGTTAGTCTCGACTTAGTAACGCCTCTTAGCATTTCTTGTCAACATAGATAAACTCCCACTATAGTAACTCCGTCATGCTCGGATGATTGATCACCGTTATAGATGCGGAGAGACTCCATAAATAAAAACTCCAACATTATATCCCCTCCCAGTCCTCCATACCTATTTCCTTAAAGAGAAAGAGAGAGAGGGGAAAAAAATAACTACAAACGCAATTTCTCGCAGAATTACTTTCAAGTTTGATTTTTCTTACTTTCGTTTTATGCCGCGTAAATGATTAAATTCTTCGGTCTTAACGTCGAATAATCACGACGCCATCTTTTCGAGAAGATATTCCCATTTAACTAGCCATTATTTCGAGCTTCCGTGGTATTAATTTTGTTTTAACAATACTGGTGAAGTCTCTTCTAACAAAGAAGAAAAGAATTATAAATTTGTCTGGCCAAATTCCGAAATTTCTATTTTCATTGTTGTTGGTAAACGCTCTTGACACCGACTTCTACATTTGTACGAAAGATCTTCGGCACCATACTTTGGCTATTTTCCCTGTTCACCTGCCTACCATCTCTTCACATCATTGTTTTTCCGTCCTCCCTCGTTGGCCTGCGGGGCAAAATCTGTCAAAATCACAGAATACCGAAAGCTAACTAACTATTATGGAACCTGTGACCTAAATAGTTTTCGTGGCGAAAAGAAGTAAACAACAGTTAAGAATCTTTTAATGTCATCTAGTTAGCGGGAGATGGGATAAATTACTCCAATATATATATACAAACTTAGAAGATCGACGTAAGTTTGTAAAGAATTTCACAATACTGGAATAGCACGAGCCAAAAGAAGAAGGAAAAAAAACATATATATATATATATTATGCGTGCTAATCTGTATCGGTGCCAAAATATCCTCGAGATGTTATAATTGTATAAACAAAATCGACTGCACGAACAGAAACTATACCAAAATGTCTTAGATAAAATCGACGTTACCATATTTGGCCAGTTTTGTTATTTTGTTTCGCTTTGGCACCTTATATCGTACTGTCTGGTTATAATTCAATCTGCAATGATATCTCTTCTTCAAATGCTTACTTTGGCAATGCTTAGATGCTGCTGGCACTCTGCCCATATCTCGCTCCCCCAGGAGAAGTAATTCTACACAATACTATCCTACTATATTACCTATTGAATTTAGATGCGGAGCGAAATGTGTATTTTTAGTCATCGCATATGGCTCCGATTAAACACCTCGAACTTTACTCCAGTTTTTGTTTTTTTCTTTTTCTCTTTTTCCATCCCGCATCGGGGGGGGGGTATACTATAAGAAATTGGGACACTTCTTAACTTATAGATTCTACCTGTATTCGTTTTCGGTGATAATTACTTCTAGTGTTGTACGTGTATCGCTGATTATAATGTCGAGCCTGTGTTAGTTTCCGGTCCAGTTATTTTCCCAGGGTAAATCACATTTTTATTTCATTGTTTAAATAGACTACTTTAGTTGTAAAGTTGGTTTACTTTTTAATTGGTTCCTGTTATTCGCATTGTTTTTCGGTTTTTATTAGGCTTTTTATTTTTTTTAAAAAAGAGATGTCGATTCATGGAAAATGTCGAATTCTTTAGCTGTTATCAATAGTTTTATACGCCATTTTTTTTCCTTAGCGGACAATTTTGGATATCCGAAAAAATATCGAATTTTTAATATTCGATAAAGTACGAAGCCCTCCTGGACGCTAATTCGACTGGGAAAACGATTTTCCAATATATTAAACCTATCAAAACTGATCTTACTACTTAATAAACACAAGTTGATTTTCAGTTTTTGCGAATGAATGTTACAAATCAATGATCGTTCCGGACATAAACCCAAATTTGGAGAGTTGAAAGAAGAAAAAATAATATATATTCTTTACATTACTAAATTTAGATATGTCGTAAATAGTGGTGATGATTTAAGAAAAACAATCTGTTGCACATAAATATGCAATAAAAAGCGCAGATAGAAAATGCAGTAAGTTAATTTAAAGAAAAGTAGGTTTAACCAATAAACAGTAACACCTAAACGGAATGGTATCGTTGAATCACCATCTGGTTTTAATCCCGAAACTAAAGTTGATTGTAACACAAGTAGTCGGAACTGGGGGATCAACTTGTCACACGAGATTAATGACGTATTTCCTGTGTTTATTCCACACGTACGCCAGTAATGTATTAATTATCTCACTGTGTGGATCATATTACATCCAGGTGTAGAAAGCGTATTCTACTGGCATCTATCAGGTGGTTGTTTCGACAAAGTTTTCTATTTTTTGAGTCACCACATAATCGGAAGCACGCATTCACTTAACGCGTTTTATTAAAATATTTCTGTAAATCGAATATTCTTGTTCATTTGAATTATTTCCGCTCTGTAGATTTTCATTTCCACTCGAAGGGGGAGCGAAACTTTCCGATGCCCCCACACTTAAATAAAAGTGATTGATGAAGAAATTATACTTTACAAGGTAAAACCCGTTTACAACTAATCATCTACCGTTAAATCAAGGTGTAGTAGCCCCGCGGGCTCGAAAGATTTCTACTTTCATCGTGTGCAAATCTGGAAATGGGGTGAACCGATACAATACGTTCACCGGAGGTAATATATGAGACTATTGTAACCCTGCAACCCTTTGAAGAGCCTGACGGGGGTTTAGTTGTTACCTATTATGCTATAGAATTACTTTTCACTTCTCACAAAGATGGATATCTGGGCTTCCTCTCTCCGGTGCCACCGAATAAATTGAAAGTTTAACTTTAAAAATTGATAATGCGAATGAAAGTTTTGGGGTACGAAAAAAAGAGACAAAGATCTCGCGTGACATGCCAAGTAGGAAACAATATTGTCAGAATTGCATTAAGGTATTTTCCCCAAACTATTTATATACGGAAACTGGCGAGAGATCTTGTTCCTTCTCAACTTCCCCCGCATCAATTTTAGAGTTTCTTCTAGCCTTGAACCCGGTTTACTTGGCAAGCGAAAAACGATTCATCTCTGCCTTGTTTAGTTGCGGGAATTAACAACAAACAATTATTAATTAAATAATATATTTTAGGAATAGATTTTTTAAAATATATTCCTATTTATTTCTATTTCTAGTTATATGAATTAAGCGACGAACCGGCAAGGAAAGATTTTCTCGATGATCTTTTCGATTTTATGCAAAAGAGAGGTGAGTTTAGGTAATATTACACGATAAATCTTTGATTTGTTTATGAAAAATGTTAAAATAATTATTGGAGGGATGTGTATAGTAAATGGTAAGGTTCTAAACGACCTTCAATGGGGTGATAGCACTAAGCTTTCCCAGAACTTCGTAGTTGGTCTATAGTGGCGGATCGAAGCCTGCAGCAAATATCCCCCGCACGGAACATGATTTTGTAGGAATTTACAACTGCTTGTCCTTCTTGTGTGACCACGGGCACAAATCGTTGAAAAGGGGACTACCGAGAAGTCTCCTGATTGCGGTCTGTGGATAATGGAAAATAACTGCACCAGATACGGGATGTCTTTTGTAAACAACACCATCAATTTAAATGAAAATAACTTTTCCGAGACGCGATGGATCTTCCTCTCTGATGTTTTCGCAGTATCTCGAGAAATTAGAATGGTTACGAGTGACGCTTATAGTTAAGTCTCGTGTAACAGAACGTTAATGAGATTAGTTAAGTGACGATTTTATAAATGCGTGTAGTGGTCGGAGCACATTTTCCAAACAAAACGCGAGACGAGTAATTTATTGTAGGATACAAATTATATAGGGGAAACATCAAATCTCCCGGTGACATCTGGTAAACATGACTTACCAACCGCTATTGGCCGATATATATAGCTCTCTAACCCTAATCTCAGACTAATAAATCAAGAAAGTAGCCATCAGCGAAGTTATCCCCGAGGCAGACAGTGAAACGATTTCGACTCTACTACCAGTGTTTACTGCAGTTGGAGGAGGTGATGTTTCTTTGTTTCCGAGAAACGAGCGGGATTTCATTCGACGACCGTTGTAAAAGCCGCACCTTATTATGGAAACAGTAATTACAACCCATTGCCTTTCGATCTAATTATTATTACGGTCGGAAATTGAAGGACAAGCTCTCTTCTTGGGAGGGAGATTGGGACAACAAAAAGTAATTAAAGGACTTATCTGCGCGTATCAAATCTACACAGCATACCGGTATCGGTAGAGTCTTCGTAACAATGTACTGACATAACCAAGTATGTTGTATCTATATATAGTCTTACACCCCACAGAATTCGACATTAATGTTCTGCTGAGTCGGAACGATGAAGTGTATTCCAGGAAACGACCCTCGCCAGGGAAACACTGTTTCCCTTTGTCGGTAAAACCACGACTGTCGAAAATCGTCCCTCGGTTATTTATACTTTAGCTAATCCACCAGATGTGTGATCACGTGATAAATGAGCGGAAATCTCGACTTCCCAGATGTTGCTCGAAACTGCATAAAAATCGCCATGGCATAGTCGCGCCTTTGTCTAAATGACTGTATTGTTTCACTCTTTAATCTCTTCTATCTATTCGCGCTCTACATATATGCTATATATTTTCTATTTATTTCGTCAAAATTTCCTTTAAGATGATCAATTTTCCCAACTAAAGTTTGTTTTTTTGTTTTCTTTTTTTCCGTTCCCCGACAGGAACACCTGTTAACCGGATACCCATTATGGCTAAACAGGTGCTGGATCTCTACGAATTATACAAATTAGTAGTGGCCAGAGGAGGTCTCGTTGAAGTCATAAACAGAAAGATTTGGAGGGAAATCACCAAAGGCCTCAATTTGCCATCTTCTATTACAAGTGCGGCATTCACTCTAAGGACTCAGTAGGTTGTTTTTCTTTTTTTATTCTGTATTTTTCACAACAGCCAAATTCGATCTTTTGTATCGCTTTCAATAATATTTCGACCTACAAAATTTTATATATTTATTTTTTAAAGCCGAACTTCTTAAATATTGACATTTTTAAGATTTTAGCATCCTTACGCTTCCAATGAAAACAAATTTATTGGAATATATTTTAAAACTGAACTATTGAATGAAGATTAAAAAAACAATTATTGTCGTAATTACAAATTTATAAAAGTTTAATGGTAAATTTTTCTAGCACTTTTAGTTTGATAGAAAATGTAATATTTTGCCCGCTTTAAGTGGAAAATATTTTTGTTTTCTAACAATCTGTTTGGATTGTGAAGTAAAACGTCAACGAAGAAATTTGAGTATTTGATCGATCCTCCAGAGCAGAGGTTCTCAAAAACGTCAGACGGAATGAACAGAGTTAAACAAAAGTTTTATTTTATTGAGCAGTATTAGAGTATTATGATGCGTGACGACAAAAGATCAAACAATGAAAATGCAACTTTAGCAAAGGCATTTGGACTGTTATACTTTGCCTAATGATTAATCGACGTATTGCTGGTGTGGTGTCGTTTACTTCAGTAGAATGCAATAAAACGTGGTCGGGAGACATATTTTATCGCGTTAAGTCGCGATTACATTTTTGAATAGGACTTTAAGCCAAATGGAATTAATCAGAAGCCAGATGATGATTGCTACGAATTCTGATCACGTTCAGAAACTAATTTGCAAAATCCGATATTTAAACAGAAAGTATCTTTAATCGAATCGATGGCGAATTTTCTGTATGTTTTGTGACATTTAGTTGTTCATGCGTGCAAAATTTCTCCTAGTTAAATTAATTAATGGAGTTATTAACATTAATTATTAATAAGTGCACTCATAATTAAATCGATCTTTACACTTTTGCTTCTCTAAAATTTATTATTATTATTTTTGTTAGCTTAAACGAGTATAACTTTAGTCTGCTTTCAGTATTGGTCGAACCGTGGTATCGTTAAACTCGTGATTAATAAGGCGTCGATAGGATGGTGCTGACATTTAACACTCGTTTTATTACGTTTTTCTCAAATTTCTGCGAACTTTTCATACTAAGAAACTTTTTTTAAAATTAGATAGACTTAAGTTAAATCAGTTGCTTAAATATTCCAGATATGCGCTAACAAAAAGAAAAACCAAATAAATAAAATTTGGCATAGGAACTTGGATGGTTAAAGGAATTTTTTCGGAGAAAATATACATACAAAATATTCAAACTTCGCAAAAAAATAACTAATGATGCATTTACTGAACTGACAAACGGACGGATAGGTGTATTAGAGACTTCACAAAAGCATTCCTAGTACCTATTAAAAGCGCATTAACCCGAACTTCTTGTAAATCTGCAACTCAGAATTTTATGCAAAGGAATGGTTTTAATTTTAGTCATTTTAGTTAGTTCACTGACGTGTCTATGTACTCCAGATAAGTTTAAAGTTTAGTCATTCTTTTACTGTAGATATATGAAGTACTTGTATCCATACGAATGCGAAAAGGAAAATTTGAGTAGTCCTAGCGAACTTCAGATGGCCATAGACGGGAACAGGAGAGAAGGAAGAAGGTCGAGTTTAGGTCAGTTTAGTTTAGAAATGCTTCCTCAAGTTCCAAGAAACTCTCATACTTCACCTCTCAGCCTAGTTGCGAGACATATGAACGGAAACAACATCAATCCTGCAGGTGAGTTCTAATCGACTGTAAAATTCTGTGTAAAAAAAAGCGGGTTAAACTCTTTTTTGTAGTGACAAATTAAGTTTATGAGCTTGAAAAATTTTTCTAGGAAAAAAATTTCTTTTCCAAAAATCGGATTTTCGTAAGATTACATACAATAAGTGATGGTTACAAAACATGGGCTAAGTATTCTCCAATACTAGGTACGGATTTCGGGCATCGATTGATATCATCCAATAGGAAAGTCGTTACTAGAAGGCATTTTTCTGTGTTTCTTTCTCTCACGAATAACTTAAAAAACAATTCATTCTCATTTTTATAAAATCGGACCTTAAAATTTACTTTTGAATATCGCTTATTAAAAAGAAAGAAGGAAAAGTAAATAAATGAGTGCTGTTCTCGGGGGCTGCTTTACACGTATCTCGTATTTCCGAGTAGCAATTAAATTCGCCGGTAAATCGGGAGAAGTCGTAATTTCCCTTCTATTGAAAGACACGTGAGCAATAAACGTACGTGAGCGAATATCGAACCAACGGCAAATAGCGGGGCATAATCGTATTTTAAATATGATTTCTGGCATTACGTCACCAAAAAAGGCCGAGTTAGTCCGATTTAATCTGAAGCGGATTAGGTGGAAGGCTAATGTTGTGGTAGGATGTTAGCAGACGGTGGAGATAGTCATAAAAAGCCATTAAAGTCAACTCGGCTCTATAATTAAGGTGCCGAAGAGAGATTTCTCTGCGATGGTGCGGCGACACACGTATGTTTTCGCCTTTGAAAATCGACCGGTAATCACCAGGACCGAGTGCACAGTCAATTAGCAGTGACGTCCGTCTTATAAATCACGACTAGTCTGCTTTTCAGTTGCAAACATCCACTCCGCCTGCAGCAAGGCGGACGGATGCTCTTCATCACAGTTTTCATCACTTGTCATCATCTAGGGATGAAATGAGAGTTTATCCTTATCGGTTAACCGGTTCAAAGGTTAGGTAAAGACTTGTAGTTTTAGTTTTAGATAAGATGCACACCCACTAAGCTTACAGGTAATTGAATTTTTGCCCTACTTGATTGAAACTCCCAATCTCTGGGCCAAATGAGGATGAATTATTCTACAATTATTTAGTTGGTTGATGCAACCTGGTGTGAATGCCCCAGATGTGTGCCTCACCCACCTATTTATAAACCTTTTAATGATAATTTCTATATCTTTTTAGAGTTTTATAACCAGGTGGGAATTAATTCCAGATATTTTGTATTCAAAATGTTATTAAACTGGATTATAATGGGTGCGTTTGGTTTAATGTTCACAAAAGAAAAAAAAACCTTAATAAGATAGTTGCATAATTATTGTCCTTTTTTTTCTTTTTTTTAGACTACCTGGCATTTGATCAATCTGAAAATAATGGTGAGTGTCCTCTTACCACTTTTATAAGATTATTATGCCTCCTATTACTACTATTCCAACCCCATTTGGGATGGGCAAGAATATAGTTATTATAATGGGATAGGGTGCACTTTGAAGAAATTAGCTTTTTGATTATTTTAATAATGAATGCCTGGAGGCAAATATTGTTATTTTTAATAAATATTTATGGGGATGAAAGATAACAATTTAAAATATTAATTAAATGTGACTTTGAAACTGAAAAATTATGTTGGTGATGAAAATTATTCTTTTTGTGAACAAAGAACAATTAAGACAACGAAAGTTTTTTGTTAAATCTAAAAGTACCTGTTTAAAATATTTATAGGAAATTACCATATAAAGTTCAAAAAATAAATTATGAAAGAATTTATATCAAATTTTCAATGTTCTCTTGAACTTGTTAAATAGGTAATCAGGTCTCTTCTAAACCTGAAATGATTTCTTTGAATACACAAAAAGAAATTGTGGATTTATAAGAGGTTCCATTTGCCTGTTTAACAATTGTGGATAAAATATACATATTAAATGTTTTAGATTTGAATTTTCTTTTTAATTTAATAGATGAAGATAACTTTGATCAGCCTACACAGCAGGAAGCACTGAATTTAGAAGTACCTCGTCCACCAAGCACAAATGTAAACAGTACTAATAGCAACAATAATAATAACATTATTGATGTATCATCAAAAACTCTGGATCTGGCATTAAAGAAGTCTGAGGATTATGGACCTAATACTTCAGAAGGACCACCACCTAAAAAAGTTTACATTGATGATGATGCACTAATACCAGCAAGAATTCCAAGGGTGCATATGAAATTCACTTCAAGAGGTAGAATATTTTAGTACAGTTCAGTTTTGTAAACAAAACTGAAACTGGATAGATTACATTCTTGTATTTATATTTCTAGGTGATGGTTCATTGCCTTATGATAGTTCTGTTGTAGTAAGTATGGAGATGAATGGAACTGTATATCAAGGAGTTTTATTTGCTCAGAGTCATAAAAATTCTCAGCTGTAGAAGTTATCAACTGAAATGTCTATAGTGCCTTGTCTCAATTGAGATGATGATATATACCTTTATATCAAAGGTGAAAAATTATCTTTAATGTTGTTAATATTCAGCTAAGCAAATGTACTTTATACCACACTCATAATATATTTAAAATACTCCAATAGATCATACAAAATACAAAATCCATTTTTGTGCATTTGATTATTAAAAAGTGTTTATAGCACATTCTCTAAATTTGACCTAATATTTCTGTGAGCTAAAGTTTTTTTTTCCTTCTTCCTTTTTACATAAAAAAAAGACAGCAAAGGCTTTGTTTTTTAAATTATACAATTTTATTTACTCTTTTGGTCTTGTGTGTTCTTAATGTATCAGAGTGAAAAAAAAGAAATCTTTGAGCTCATATGAATATTGGTCCATACTTTTGACTTAAAAATGATCCATATTTTAACAAGATAATTTAATGTTTCCTTCATTTTGTCAGTAACTTTTGTGTTTTATCTGAAATTGAAAATTTTTTTTTAGTAAGATATATGTGCTTCATATATTGTCTCGTGAATTTTTTGTGTGTGGTATTCTTAATACAATTTTTAGTATATAATATTGTGAGCATTTATTTATGTATTGAGTGATAAGTAGTTGAATCTCAGGGATATAGTTGCATTGAATGTACAGTTTACAGCTGTTAAAGTATGGATAATTATCATACAGTATTTCTTCTTTAAAAAAATTGTAAATTAGATTGCAACTGTTTTAAACTGTATGCATTTAATACATATTAATAGCAGGGGCGACTCCAGCAAAATGTTTAGGTGGGCCTTTTCTAAATATATAATAATTAGTACTGTGAAGAATTTAATTTGTTTTCAGAATATTCTGTGCTATTAAGATTGCAGACAACATTTAAAAATAATTGTAATCATTTTTATGTTTAAATTTAATTTCAAGCTCATTACTATAAATTATCAAATATTTTAAAATTAAATTTTCCTTGATGAAATATTTGAGAAACAAATTAAAATGCATTTAAATACATATTTGCTTACTACATATTATATTCACTTGCTTTCATTGTAATATTACAGTATACATTGACATAATTGAAAGTACTTTTGTTTAATAAATCTTATCAAATGTACATTCAATGATATCATAATTATTTAATTTATTTTTCATAAATTACTTAAAACTATCAATTGAATCAATAAGTAGGGGTCATGGTGCCCTCATTTCCCTCTGGAGTCACCCCATGCTAATAGAGATATTATTATATTAAAATTTGTAGTATAATTCAGCTTTAGTTAAAGACAGCAATATTGAGATCTACAACAGAATACTCAACATTTATTCAGATAAAATTGATAACCAGTACAAATTGTTTCTTTCAGATAGATATATAGCCTATTTTTAATCATTCAGTTAGTCTAAATTAAAATTTAAAAAATCAAAGCATTGTTTGCTTCTTTTATAAACTTAGACTATTTTTTCTTAGTTCTATGCTTTAAGTATTTAAAAAATATAGAAAAAAAAATTTGTTTTATTGAAGTATAATGAATATTGTGTTATGCCCCAGTATTCATAATAATAATTATGGCAAAAAAGAAATTATAAATTCTGGCGGGCTGTAAATGAATTTAGAATAATATTTCTTATATATATGTTTTAAAAAATGAATTGTTTCAAAGTTACAAAAACATTTAAATTGTGTAAGAATGCTTGTTGGGAAAACAATTATCTTTTTTCATTGCATTTTGAAACAAAGAAAAAGGAATTGTTAACATTAGTTGGTTTCCACTAATTCCTAGTATATGCAGTTAGTAGGCTATTATAAACTACATTATATTAAACTGGTATGACACCTGCTTACTAAAGTGTAGTTTATAATATACTGATGATGTTATCAGCTTAGTTGACATGTAAATTAAAGTCTTAAGTGCACATTGCATTATACTCAGAAAATAAGACTGTTTAGTTATTCTATTAAAAAAATGATGATTGGAAAGCTGAATATATGAAAATTTTTATAATTAATGACCAAACATTTGATATAAAAATTTGGTAACTGGTCAATTATATGAAGACAAAATTAGTAAAATTTTATTTGTTGATACTGATCATAATATATTAAAGGAAAAAAATTTAATTGCATTTTCATTAATAGTTTTCTGTTGTTTAAAGTATTAAGGTTAGAGTTATGTCATAAGACATTTCAAAATATAAAATTTAAAAATGTTATAAACAAAAAAAAATTATTGGAGATTATAAAAATGAAAATTCTATGAGTTAGAGATTCTTGATATTTATATATATACATATAGATTAGTTATAAAAATATAAAAATATCTAAAACATATCTCAATAAATGCATTTACAATTTAATTACAGTTTATGCAAATACATAGTATATAAAAAAATTTTTTCCCCTCTTTATCATTTTATAACTTATAAATTTCATGTGATGTACTTAATATGAGTTTACTTAATATGAAATTTTGAAAATTTTATACAAATCCGGTGGATACATTATCTATTATGAGACATTAAAAAACTGAAATTCCTTTTTATTCTCAATCCAAACATTTTCCGGTTGGCGACCCAAAAGCATTCCACAGACCAGTCTTCCAAAATTATTTTTTCGCATTACTGTATGATGTCCATGCTATACAGTGTACATAAATATAAATATATACATACATTTGCCACTTGATGCGACAGACTATCTCTGGACTACAGGCTAGAAAACGTTGTACATATATGAGTAAACTGTTAGTTTATGTGGTGGTTTGTCAATTCATGGCTTTTCATTTCTGCTGTATTTTAATCATCATCACAGAAGTCATAGTAATAGATAATGTACACCCAAATATGGGAACGATTTGTGATATTTTTTTTTAAATCACTATGCTCAGGCAGATCGTGTTTTGAAAGATCTCTTGTTTGTACTTCCGATAAAATTATTTGAATTTTATATATTGACATTTACTATGTATTTTTAACATCTGTGTAGTGTAAAAATATATTAAAAATATCAACCTGACAAATGAAATAAAGGAGTGAAGAAGCTTTTTAGACAATGTGTTTGTGTTATATTTTGTTTACCTAATAGTAGAAAGTATTGCAAAATCTGTTGACCACTAAAAATTGTGATACATACTTCAATAGTTTCTCTAGATGTATATCAATTCTGTGAAAAGACAGACATGACAATACAGCTTTAAAAATGCTGTCATGAAATATATCAAATGTTGCAATTGTCAGCTGATGAATGAAAATCTTTGACCACTAAAGGTAAGAAAACCGGAATTTTATCAGTTATATTTATTGTTTATCTATTTCTCTCTCTCTTTCTTCTAATAGTTGTTTGTTATTAAAAATATAATTATAAGAAATTGAAGAATGGCCAGCAGTTTTTTTATTTTCGTCAATATTTAAAAAATATATTAAATAAAAATAAGTTTCAAAATAAATGTATCCAAATTTTAAAAACTGAAATAAAACTTGAACATTGTGATTGTATTCTTTTGAACTAATAAATATTGTAATCATTTTAAGAGTAGAAAACTGCGAATTTCACACTGATAGAGGAAAGATTTTAAGAATACAGGTCAAGTTTAATGGGAAGAAAAATCATTTTACCACTATAACTGGTATCAGCTAGGTATGTGGATTTTTTACGGGTTTTCTTCAACATTTAAAATTAGTATTAGATGGAAGCGAGCAATTTCTTGTAGAAATGAAGGCGTTGGTTTGGTTATTCCAAATGAAAAGAATAATGCTTTAGAGTAATTATCGTATAACTAGAAATTATTCGATGTTTCTATGGGGGGAACGTATAGAGGCGTACCCACTTACAACATTGCATATTTAGAGTTAAATTTTTAAAAAATTGTTATAGGTTAATTTATTAACTTCATATTTATACAATCCTGTTTTTACAATACGTTGCATTAGATATTTATAACAACAATGTACACAGTACAACATAGATGTGTTGCAATATGCCTAATACAACGTATATACGTGCAATTTAACCTCCAGTTATACTAGTAACTCGAATTTAAGAAGCTATTACAATGCCAAATGTATCGCGATAGGGAAAGTCTAATTTAGAATCTTGGAGTAGAAAGTATAAAAATGATATTATGCGAAATATAGCGAAGCTATAACTTTTTTACAGTATAAATTTTAAAAGGAAGTATTATGAAAAGCGTTTTAAATCGCCAAAAATTTCAGTTTTTAAAATAGATTGATCCGTGTTTTGTGTGTTTCTTTTATTAGATTAGAATTTTAGTTTAGGCCTATTAAGCATTTACTAGTGATGAACGAAAATGGACGTAAGGATTAATTAATTATCTTGACAGAAACATTTGAAATATCTAAAAAGCAATTTTCAGTCATATTTATAGTTCAGAAATGTAGCTTCATTAATGTTTCATAATGACGATTACTATGGAATGATATATAAATAATGATCAATTATTGTAATCTTTTTCCAAATATCTTGGAACAATTCTGAAATTGTGTTTAAAGGCTAGACAATTTTTAGGGCTACTCTGAAAGTCAAATATATTCATTTTAATTCTGACTAAATAATTAGGACACGTAAGAAGCTTGATTACTTCCATTATAGATTAGAATATAATAGGGATTAAAGGGTTTGATATGGGATGGGAACTAAGGGAGAAATGTTCTGAGGTTGATGGCGTAAACAATGACTTATTCTGAAATGTGTTTTAAACTAAAAACAACTAAATAAGAAAGCTGATGACGTGTCCATTTGATATGAAACGGACTCGGACTTACTGTAGCTTGCTTATACACGTATCCTTTGTTTCTATAAATGGATTATAATCGCCATTAATTAATATCTAACGACAAAATTACACCGTACATTTTAAAGATAAAGATACGTTTTTAATCATTAGTATATTGGTCTATCCGACCAGATACGCACCAACTAGAGAGATATAGGCTATTTCACGGTTAAATTAACTTATTATATAGTGGTGTATTAGTTAGACGTTATTGAATGCGGATGCTTCTATCCGAAATTGATTTTATTTAGATTTCTGAAAGCCGAGAAGCTTAAATGCGAACAACAATGTCAAAATTTATGTTTTTGTTCGCCATTATGAAAATTTTACAAATACCATTATAAAAATGGTACAATAGAGCGTCGTTTATCCGAATCAATTGGGGACTGGGGTGGTTCGGATAACGAATCATGTACGAAAAAATATATTAATTTATCCCATGTTGAAATTTCTCTCCGTTGCGTGTCGCTTCGCGTTGAATTTTCGTCGATGTTAAGCCTAACGAAGACTTGTATCGTTAAAATTTTTTTTTTATTTTGTACAAACAAAATAAATTTATTGAAAAATATAAAAACAAAAAATTATACTTCAGATGTTAATTTAGTATCAAAAACGTAAAATATTTGAGTAGCCCGAGAAATAGCCGAAGATTGCAGCGCCACAGCACTGGCGAAAATTTAAATTTGCCCACTGGAATGCTTTCGGATAAACGACGCTCTACTGTATTTGTAGACTATAATCCTGAATGCCACAGTCATAATAATTGTTTTAATTATGAAAAAAAAGTTAGTAGGAATCGCAAAGAATATAAGTGAGAAAATAATAGAATGCACGTGTGTTTAGAAATAAACTGATAGAAAGATAAACATGAAACAATACGACTCGTTGAAATTATTTTTAGAAGTGACTGAGTTTTAGAAATTGTTAGGAAAATTAGGACTTTTCTCAATGTATTAAAGTCTTTTTTTTTTTAAGGTCTAAAATTTATAAGTTATGGATGTTATATGATCCATAGTGGCACTGCGTGTCAGCTGCCTTAAAAGGTAGTGCATCTCATAATTTATATAATTTACCGATGTAGTATCAAATGTATTCCATAAACAGAACATTTACAAGAAATGCTTGTTACTGTAAGAGAATATGGAATAAAGTAAATATAAGCAGGTATGCACAAATAACTTGCGCAATTTGACCCGCCAGTCGAAAAGTTTGCGCACCCTTGCCTTAGAGGATACAAGGAGTGTTGTCAGATAGAACAAACTTAGTCCCGCCTCGGATGGCAGAAAAAATGTAAATTCCTTAATGATTCGAACATCAAAACTACAATGTAATTTGGTAAGATTAGGAAATTCTAAATTAAAATTTTCAATATATTGGTTGGTTAATAAGTCTTTATAAATAAAATTATAATACAGTAAATATATAGTCGTTTTATATAAAACAGAAAAAAATAATCGCGCAAAAATTCTACAACATATTTAAATAATTTTGGAATGTATAATAAAAACTGGTTGGTTTTAATTAAATATTTTAATCAATCCTACACAATTATTTCATTTAAATCTTATAAAGTTTTACTAATTATTTACGTTCAGATAATATGAAAGATTTTCTCAAATTTAACCGTTTGTTTTCAAATATAAATTAAATTGAAATATGAATGACCTAAATGGACGAAACCTGACTCATAAGCAACCGCGACTTCGGCAACGTAATTTCACTTTTCCGTTTTCTCTTGCTATTACTCAAGTCTAATCAAGCTGATGATCGTGATAAAGAACATTTCACTAGCGACTAGCGAGATGAGACTCTAGTTTGAAACTACATTACTAGTTATAAAGTTCAGTTGCGGCTCGCAGCCAGAAAAAATTGGGAAACATTGATCTAAATCAGTGGTTCCTAAAGTGGTTCCCCCAGGACCCCCAGGGGTCCTTGGTACCACTTTGGGAATCTGTGGCAAATAAAAATTAATTTGGAGGTGCATGAACAACGTCAGGGGGTCCGCGAAAAGTTTAATATAAAATAAAATAATTGTGACCCATTTTCATTATTAGGATAGTTAAAAATAAATAGCAATAAATAAATTGGTAGCCATTTTTACATTCTGAATAAAATATAAGTATATAGGTACATAAAATACAAGTAATGACAAGCATCGCACGGTGAGAGTCGAGCCGACCGCGGCCGCCTATCTATGCAGATTTGAACATGAACGGAATCTCGCCGCTACATACAATAACTTGTCTAAAATATGACACTAGATGAGTTGTGCATCTAATCAACAATTTAATTCTGTTTTGTGCGTGATGTGAAGTGCATACAACAAAATTCTCTATACAGCTTGACGAGGCAACTTTGCCAGGAAACGAAGCATTTCTTTTAGCTTATGTAAGATTTGTAAAAAGAGAATATTTCCCAATAATTGTTATTTGCCAAATGTTTGGAAACTGA